TTTTTTTTTTTTTTCACAAGTGATTGCTATTCTTTCTGTAAATTTTGTGTGTAAAACTGCGTAGCCTTTAGATTCCTAGAAGATATTTATTTGATAATTACGACGGAGGGAGATTAGACCAGTGGAGAGAGATAAAAATTCAATGAATTTCACGCTTTCTCCATGGCATGTATTTAACGCATTCTGTTGCATATACAACACACATGATGAAATGTACTAGAAGGAAAGATGAATACATGAAATATACATGAAATAAATCGAAGTATATAAGCAAGCACTACTGGATAGCGTGTTTAGAATGTGCATTAGGAAATGTGACTGCGACATATTTAGACTATGTATAAACAGAAAATTCCATTTTATTTCTGTTAATACTTAAGGGACGATGAACATATACATTAGTTGTAATTTATAACACTTATTTTTCAATCGCTTCATTTCAGTCAGCTTACTGAGAAATTTGTACACAAGTGTGGAAAAAATTTCCTCCTATTGGTAAATTTAGAAGAGAAAAATTCAAAAAAAAAATTCATTTTACGTCTTATTGCAATTAAGTTGTAATAATTTGTTGTACAATGATATTATTAAGTGATTGTCGAAATTTCTAACGAAATTAAAAGAACGAAGTCGTCCATTAAGTTCTAACAATGAAGTTACGTTGGAGTGATGCAACTAAGATGGAATCATTAATATCCTAATTGATAAGGACCGTTGATAAAATTGTTGTTACAGGTGTGCAAAATTGTATCGAACTATACTTTTCGTTCAAGCTACGTTCATCACGCTGATTTTATTCGAAGCAACAGAGCTATTTTAGCACTATTCATGGAACAATATTATACAAAAATATGACTATAAATTCATTTGTCAGTACCATTATACTCCTCCACGTTGTTTCAATATTCTCGACGGTATTTTTTTTTATCGGCGAAAATATAAATTATTGTATTACGTATCATTAAACATAATATCACCCTGTATGATTTTATTATTTCAATATTTCAACATTATGTCACCTCATCATTTTCTTTCTTTTTCTCATCGTCTTCGTAAAAAGAAATTTTACTTGCCAAAACGTTTC